TGTAGTCCCAGCTACTTGGGAGGCTGAGGCAAGAGGATCACTTAAGCTCAAGAGTTTGAGGTTGGGCTGTGCCTGTGGCTCAGTGGGTAGGGCGCCGGCCCCATATACCAAAGGTGGTGGGTTTGAACCACCCCCCCAGCCAAACTAACAAAAAAATAGCCAGGCATTGTGGCGAGCACCTGTAGTCCCAGCTACTTTGGAGGCTGAGGCAAGAGAATTGCCTAGGCCCAGGAGTTGGAAGTTGCTGTGAGCTGTGACAGCACAGGACTCTACTGAGGGCAATAAAGTGAAACTTTGTCCCTAAAGAAAAAAAAAGAGTTTGAGGTTGCTGTGAGCTGTGATGCCATAGCATGCTACTGAGGACAACATAGTGAGACTGTCTCAAAAAAAAAAAAAAAAAGGAAAGGAAATGGAGTTGGGGTCTTAGGCAAACAGGAGCTCACAGAGAGCATGAGCCTGCCCCTAGTTGGACATATGGGGAAACTGAGGCACATATAAACACCCGTGCGCACTGGCTCGTGAGAGTACTCAAGCTCCTTCATGATGATCATAGATAAGAGTTAGTTATTGAGTGCTTATTTTCTGCTAATCCTATATCCCATAGCAACATTCTGAGATGGGCTCTATTACTAGACCTATTTTAGTTAGGGAAACTGAGGCACAGAAAGACTATATAGCCTGGCAATGATGGTCTCTAAGCCAATATTTCCCTGTTAGCCCCCAGTGAAACTTATTAGGGTTGTTTCCAGGTAGGGACTCAAGCTGAGTTCACTGGCTGATATCTCCTGATACCACTTCCTGGCTGTGCCACCCAGGCAGGGGCTATGCCAACATTAGAGAAGTGCATTCAGACTGCACAATTTATTTATGACTGCAGACACATGGATAGTGTCATGATTAAGATCCTGATTGCTGGGGTTTGAGCCCCACCTCTGCCACTTACTGCTGTGTGACTGAGCAAGCAATTCTATCTCTCTGGGTAGAATGGAAAATGAGGGGGGCTCGGTGCCTATAGCTCAACTGGCTAAGGTGCCAGCCACGTACACCTAAGGTGGCGGGTTCGAATCCCCAGCCCGGACCCGCCAAACAACAATGACAGCTGCAACCAAAAAATAG